GGATGAGTACAGGAGTGAGCATGGGCTAAGTGTTGAGGCAGCATTTTAAACTTCGAGGTGACAATGCACGTGCCAAACGGTTCAGTATGAATTGTCTACGCCGCGTATCGTCATCAGATAAGGAGATATCATCAGCATAAACTTAGGCGGTTGCGCTCATACTCGATAGACACTTTATATTAGTCTTCTGAAAGTGTTACAGAGCTCACGGCAGCACGCTTTCAAATACAAATTATTGAGGAACAGCGATACTTGGCAGCACTGTCGCATGTCACTACTGATTATGACAAAAGTACTTGCCGTAGGACTTTACTCTGCCGAAGAAATGATTTTAAAAATACGTAGGATTGCGGTACACTTTTGTAGAACACCGTCGTTTAACAAGCAACGCCATTAAGCAGATTAATCAACGGGTTAAACGCAGGCCGTATGTGTAGGAATGCCACGATAGCTGATCTGTGGTTAATGTCGCGATATACGAGGAGCTGGGGGAGCGAGCTGATTTAGTCTACGCATCCAACGCCAGGAGGAAAATTAACTTGTTCTTCACGGCAGTACGACTCATGTATTGGGGTTCGTGAACGTCAATAAGCTGGAGGTAGCAAAATGAAGTTAAGCTCTGGATGATTGACAAAGGAAATATGAGTACCATTCTGGAGGATAAAGGCAACAGTCTGGTTTGTGTGAAATACATGAATTCAAGGAAAGTCGTATACCATCAAGGAAAAACTCACATCTTTGGGCTCAACGTACTACCCACGTTCAGACATATAACTTCTCCTAACCCGACTTCGTAGAAGGCTGTTGAAAATTGTGTTTATTCGCATTTTGTCGTCACTCAGTAAATGTGAGTCATGTCATGTAGGGGAGTTGGCATAATGCATGTTGGAGCCATATCTTAAAAATACGCAATAGGAGCACATAACTGGCTCAGGTAGGAGGAGCGTTCTGTAAGCTGACAAATTCGGAGGAAAAAGATCTTAGGCCACACTCTAACCGGCTATATGGAGTGGTCATTTTCAGCTGGCATCTTTTTGTGTTGCGGATAAGCGTCAGGTTGCGGTGACAGATGTGATCAATGTATTTCGCTAGCTGTTTGTAGATTTTAGTCATAGTTGGTATTGCAAACAGAACAAGCCGTTCACGGCTCTGGCTAACCTACACTGTAAAACATTAAGTGCATTCAGATCGCGTTTTAGCTATGTTTCCCAAGACGTTCGCTTACCCCACATGAACTCCACACACTCATTTAATGCTTGCAGGAACACGGAATGCTGAACTGCCCAAGCGCCCTTCGAAAAAACACCAACATGTTAGTTCACGATTTTTGACCTCTTCACTGATTACCCTGCTTAGCTGAGGTCATCTTGAATAAGCACACCAAGGTCGCGTTCCTGAGAGGCGGTCTTCAAGATTTGTTATTTTAGCCTGCATGTGATATTTGGCTTGAGGTATACATGCACTATATTTTTTCTTACATGTTGAACGGGTGTAGAATAATATTTGGCCATTCAAACACACAGTCTAAGTTAAGTTCCGTGATCTTTCAAATTAGCTATCATCACCCACTATATAGTGGTATCATCGGCCAAAATTGAAAAATGCAACTCCATGGCATGCGCGAGTTTGCTGATGAAGCTTAGTAATATGTGTGCTTTAAATACCGCTCCTTGTAGAACAACGTAGCTGGTCTAAATATTATCGAACGTTGAGCCTTGAATCCAAACCTACAGCGGTTTCCGTTGTCGGGAATAAAAAAATTATGTATGTATTTATAATAACATATTTATTACTACCGTAGTTTTGCAGTTTATGGAGAAGGACAAAGCGATTTAACCGGTCGAGGGTTTCAGTAACGTCTAGGTAGATAACGTCGGTTAACTATTGCGGCCTAACTGTCAAACGTAATCAGTTGATTGGAAGTACATGACAGATCTTGAATGAAGCCGTGTTGCTCTAGCGCTATGCATTTAGACCTTCTCAATAGACCAATAGTGACGCCATTACATTCGATAGCACACGGAGGTGAATCTTGTAAACAATGCTAGCCGAGTTCAAGTCAGTGTCGAGTCTACAGTACGTTTTCCCACAGTTAATAAGAGTGAATTTACAACCAGTTAGCTACGACACCTAAAAGTGTGGTAATAATAGCCTGCTTTTACGTCTTGGAAAGCTGCTTTTCATTCATTGCCATTGCAAAAATCGAGCTGCTGTTTAGCTAGCCAAGCAGCCGCCGCCGACACTGTTTTCGCTTAATGCTGGCTACTTTGGGAGCAATCTGTGCGCAACGATAGAAGCTTGCTTAATACACTCGTTGAACTAGAAATGATGCAGATAAATCCTAGTGTCAGGGAATCTAGGACAGGTACGTGACACATGCTAAAGGCAAATTGTAACCGTAAAACAATTGTTGCACCCTCGGCGATTTCCGCACATTCATTCGTCTTACCGGATGGGGGAAAGATACGATGTACCTTCCGAAGGTTATTCACATTTGACAGTAGATTGTTATTTACACAAAGCCTTCCCGATAGTCGCTGTGTTGTACGCCAATTCCTTCTCATGGACAAGTGTGGTACAGTGATTATGCTGCAAAACATAGTTGCGCCATGCCAGGGCTAGGGTTCGCTCCGTAGACATGCTACGCTGTCTCTTACCGTAATGCGTTTTTGATTTCTGTTCCAAAAATTCAGGGTGCTCTTGAACAACAAAAAAGCCTTTTTACCGACACGCATCGAATTGATTTACCGAACTTGTTAGCAAACTCGACCCAGATACCATCAAAGAACCACCATCCAAAAACATAAAGGTGGCTTGTTCAACGTGTGCTGTTATTCTGTCGCAATGTGTGATTGTGCGAAATAAATCTATGCGTTCCTCATGGTAGGCACAAAATCAAGTGGTATAATGACGTAAACAAGCAAGAGGAAAGACCTCTATCGTAAGCCAATCAATCAAAGACTCTTCGTTTGTAAGCATCGAAGCATGCTTTGGTGGTTTGTTTCCCGTACTGAAGCTGGTGAGTGAGCTGATGTTAAGGAAGCACGAATTGCTTGTGGGTCCACCTTCAGCTGCTCATTGAGATATGCCGATAATTCCAGTTTGTGAGAAGTGAAGTCATCTCAGATGATGATATAACTAAATCTTGTTCGCAAGCTACCACTGAGGGCTGATGTTAGACAGAAGTCTATCTCGCTGTAGGACACACATCATATAAGTTAAACTCAGTACGTCCATTAATATAAGGTCCGCTAGTTTAATGATGTTTGGTAGTCGTGTTATAAAATAAAGAGATTTTAATTGTTCATTTGTTCTCCGAGCTTGGCGGTTTTCTCGCAAACGTTTCACCACCATGCGAGGTGGCATCCTCAGTGTAGTGATATGTCCTGCGATAGCGCTTATATTTATTCTTAATATCACGATAAATGTCGTAGGTACTAGCTGTTGAAGCTGCTTGGTAGGTTCGTCAGCATCTAGACCGTCTCTTAAGCAAGAAGTTTGCTGTGGAATCTATCCATGGGGGTGCCCTTGACCTACTTTTCTTCATAGATAGAAGCCTGGAGCAGTAACCTCTGTAATTTATCCCTTGAGTTTATCCCAGGCTAACTGAACAGGGTCCGCCATCGAGATCTCCCATTTCAGAACTGAAGTTTTAGAACTCATTGCGCCATAGCCCGCCCGCCGAATACTCAAAAGTAATTTAACGGCAATTATTAGTGCCTTGAAAGAGCACATCAAAAAACCAGACCTGATCGCTGGACCATAGTGGTGAGTCAGTTACAAAGTCGAGGGACTTGGCGAAAACCAGATCTAAAGGGGTTAGTACTTCGTTGTTCACAGACCTAGTGGTGAAGTTCACGAACATGTGTAAGGACCGTTTGTGGGTCGGCTCAAGAAAGTATGCACCGACTGTTTCTGACGCCGAATTGCAAGAAAACTCCGCCAAACAGACTTCCGGGTGGTTGAACTCCTCTAGAACTAAACATCTATTCGCAAATAGTCTGAGAAAAGTCAATAATCTCTAGGGAGGTCAAGGTTGCCCAGCTGGGTAGCCAAAATAATCCAAAAGCGGAACAAACTTAGGAAGTAGCAAGGTGTCTAACTGTATTAATACAAACACTATGCTTCATTTTTCTTGTCTTGATCCGACGCGTTGTAAGGTTTACCAACACTAAATTATTTACAAATGAGTGGCCACTGCGTACTGTAAAATAAAAATTGTGGGGTTTAAAATCTAATTAGACAGTGCTGTATGGAGGTACGCCTATTATACAGTTCACTTAAGGCAGAACTATATATAGATCCAACAAGAATCGCCACACTAGCCAGCTCTTCATAATAATAGCACTAATAAAAGCATGCTAAAATAACGTAATACTGTTGCTCAACAACAAGCAAACCAGATAAGTGTCTGCAACTTAATCCCGTTAACTCGTAAGGATTAGGATGCAACACAGTAACAAAAATCTCACAGCAGCTATTTAAGCAAAATTTTCCCGAGATTAAACTTAAACACACCACTTTTATATATCGTCATAATAATCGTCATATAATTCAGTTAATAGAATACATTTAATTAACTGACGTTATTTAAGCAAGGTTCTTTTATCTAAGCGACCAGTGAAAACAAGCTAAGTTTACCGTATCTGTAGCCAGCAAACAATCTAAACGAAGTAATCGTACACAATAAGCTCCAATGACTAATTTTTATATAGTCAGAGAGAGATACTGCTTATTTTTTTAAAGGTAACTGAAGACTAGGGTGTGTTATGCTGTCCCTAGCGATTGTAACGGTTATGCGTAAACCGTCTCCAAACCATCCACAATAGTTTACATTTTTCCTAATAATAATTTATTAAAGTTGATAGTTAACGATAAGAGTTAAACAGCCAGCAAACCTAATTGTTGCAAACAAGTAAGAGTGTTTCCTAGAATTAGGCTTCAGCATACCGGGAATTAATTGATAAATCTCTGCTATTTTTCAACGTTTAGCAACTCACCAAGAAAGCTTCTTTAATTTTCAAATCTGTCCCTTTAACTGCGTTAGTTACTGCAGTGCTTGCAGCTTCAGGAGACAAACCACTCAGAATCATAAAGTAAGCTGTTGCAAAAGCTGTTGCATTCGGTTGTTCCTGTTGGCTAGTAAAAATAAATTTAGTGTGTTAATGACAAATAAATGGATTAGAGTAACTGATGTACTGGTGTTTTAAACTAATGTACCGTTGCACATATAAGGTTTATGGGCTACAACATTAAATTGTAGTTTATTGTCATTACATAGCAAGTAGTTACCTTTGAACTTACATGATAGACTGCTTGGCATAAAACTAAAACATACAGTCTAACACAGCTGGATATAATTAAGTAAGTGAGCTTAAACAACATATCAGGCTACTTTTATCAGTATTCTTTTATAGTTTCAACTCCTGCTTTAAGTTTATTCATGCAAAGGAAGGCAAGTGTATACACAGATCAACTATCAGCCTGGATCCAAAGAACTGCAAGCTAATCGGATTTTTTCAAAGAAAATTCTTCTACACTTGACCTTCACGCTCTTCTGCCAGATTGGGCTTTGAGGAACTGTGTAAAGACTTGCTCAGTAAGTGCAAAAATTATAAGCAAACGCTAAATAATTTATCGTATAGATACCAACAAAGACCGGTGCGGCTAACCATGTAACAACCGTTGCGTCGCAATATAACTTTGAACCCATAAAAAGGAATTTATATTTCACATATTTTCCGTGAGTTGAAAAATCCAAGCACTGAAGTAACGTTTCTTAGTAGTTTTCTTTTTCGGTTTCTTTGAACAGATACAGATCCTTCTATTCATGTCAGTTAAACTTATCAAATAGCCACATTAGGTTATTTTATGGCTGCTTCAGTCAGTCTATTTAGGCTAAAGATATAAAACATGTGAAGCTTGATTCATAAATAACACATTATTTTGTATGCGCATGACGCAATCTTTGTCACTATCGACTCAGATAGCTCCGTCTCCTAGCTTGCACAAATTGCACAGGTATGCTTGAAGATCAGCTCACTTGCTTTAAAAAATAGCAACCAAGCATGATATTTCTTTATTAAAATAGCCCGGTTGTAGCAAAGCTGACATATATATTAAAAAAAGCTTTTTCTTACGATATTGCAAGTCAAATAATTGTACGAAACTTTTTAACTTGCAAATAGCTCTTCGCAAGAGTTGATTGCCAAATTCATTCCACCAGTTAATAAATATTATCTGCTATCAGAACCAATCTACCTTGTGCTTTTTCAGAAACTCAAGCATTTTAAGTTAAAGCAATTAAAAAAATTAGCACTACCATTTTACAAGGTTCTAATCTGTTTATGTCGCTAGTAACAACTATTATAACGCACGTGTAAATCAACAGATATTAAATTGTGTTCATTTCTTTTAAAAAGTCGTACTTTTGATTAAGGCAAGTGCCAGATAAGCTGCCGCGGCACGGAATCTAAAACTAGTATGTGATTTGCGTTAATAGGTGTAGCCCTCAACCCAATAAAATAAGTAACTATGGCCTAGGGAAATTTTATTTCCAGGAATAATCTCTCCCATCTTATAGGGTACTTTTATTATGCTATTTTTGTTAGCCATCCAAACTTTCAAGAAACGTTAAATGAATATGCTATTCTTAAGCACATGAATTTGAGTTAGTGAAACGTTTATTTACTTATGTATCGTAAAAAGTGCGGACATCAAATCTGTTGGGTTTTATAGCTTTTCCTAGCTTAAGATATTTACATTTCTGCAAGAAATGTTTTACACGGATTGGAACAGAAGTAATTTGATTAATTCTCAGATCAAGTTTAAATGGTAAACATAGCACTTAGGTATTTAATTGCTTCGACAACTCATTTTGAAAGCACGGTTTAAGAAAAAGTGTAAAACATAACAGTGCTTCAGAAAACAATAAGTTAAGAGGTGTTTGATGCTGAAGCATATAGTCTTAAAAATACAGAAAGACGGGTTAGTAATATCAGGAGAAGATGTAGTTGTTTATTTACAAAGTAATAGGCAGCGTAAAACTTGAAGGAGGAGTAACATCAAGTGAAGCTGCTGATCTGTAGAGGTTGCCAGCCACAAATGTAATCTAGAACGCACTGAACTTTTACATTATAATTTAGTTGAACTAAAGACAAACATGCAAAACAACAACAAATCGCATGACATTTTGTTTAGCCTTATACATTATATTTTGCCGGGTAATTAAATATAGTGCAAAATCAGTGCACAATGATTGTTTTGACTATTATTAGCTTGGTAGAACATGTTTATATGATCCAGGCCAACCTGCGTCCCGCTCACGAAAAGCCCAAAGGTTTTTAAAACAAAAAGCAAAGCATGGTGTAACAAAGCATCGACGTATCCTCCAAGAAGTTCCGCCCTGCAACATTTCTTGGGAAAACAGGACCTTTGCTTTTCTGAGATGCCGAAGAAATACTTTCATTAATTCCCTGGTACAACGTGGCACAATAACTGGACATCATTATAGAAAGTAAATTTGACGACTACTAGAAGCCAGAGAAGTATTGTGGCAGATCAACTTAAGCAAAGATATATGCTACTCCTAGCTAATATCTTACTTACACATTTGGGTTGTCATGTAGGTAGTGTATGGAATCAGATTCAGATACTTTGTGCATTAAGGTTATTCACGGGATCCGCAACTTAGTTAGCCTTTGTTATATTGATTAAAAGATCACAATTGTAAAATAAAATACAAAGAAAAAGGCCCGGTCTTCCATAGCATGGAATATGCGTCACTGGAACACTGATGTAGTGTGTCAAAGTCAAAGAATCTTACTTCAGACTATAAGGTGCATAAATGTTGTTAGACACTGCTTTTTAAGAGCAGCCCATGAATTATTGTAGCATTATCACATAGTAACAAGCATGTAGATTTATGGCGACCCGTATCACACAAGTGACTAAAAATGTCCGTGGGAGAGACCGTTGGAGCGCCATGAGTAACCTTATTTTATCCCCATGGCAGCACCTGTTGGACACAATTTGAACAAATTCCTGTTACTCAGATAACTTTTTCCAGCGCACCTTTAAAATATAACGTGAATGCATTTCTCTTTGTTGCAAATAACGTAGACCTTAAGCAGAAATCGCTTCCTAGCTTTTACTTTTGCAAATAATACAGACGTGTGAATAGACCAAAAGTTTCAATGCAACCGAAATCCGTGCCAAATAAGTCCAAATGGGATAGTCAGGAGCACAAAAGTGTTCAAGGTGGCCGCTCGCCCTGACTGAAACTGTGATTTTAATAAAATGTGAAGACGCATACTTTAAGGATGACTGTCTTAAGGTGTGTAGTAATATATACCAACTTCGCATGACACGTTACGTTAATTATGTTCCTAATCATCTGTTGTTTCTGAGAGCGACCAAAACAAACCCAAATAAGACGGCTAGCCGTTCATCTGTGTAGACAGAACCCTGTCAGCACAGGGGCAAAATGTCTATGTAAAAATAACTGGTGGGTTATCGTTACATATATAGCACCTTAAGTAATTGCCCAAAAGGCGTTACTTTATAAGAAAACCTTAATTACAGCCTTCGAGAAAAGTCGATTGAGCGCTCTAACGAAGTTTTGCCACTGGCCGTCACAAGTGAACGACTTTAGTTCATTCGAGTACATTTTAGACTTAGAGTAACGGCTGTAGAATTAGGTAATTATAATTTGGGAACAGGTTTCGTCATAATGTTGACGGTATTCAGAACCAGGAAAAATGCAGTCAGGGCACATTTAAAGCGTAGGTTAAACAATACCATGTGCTAAGCGACGGTCATCCGAAAAGTGTCCAATTAAGAATTCTAGGTGCACGAATTTGGTCATTCAGTGAGCTCCAATGGTTACTCCAGCGGACACGTTTTGGTCACTTGTTCGGACAGGGTAAGGTAAGTACTCACCGACGCCAACCTAACAGCAATGCCTTAGTTGCGTAAACCGCAAACAAGTTGTTTTAACTTAAAATAACCTAACAGTGTAAGCTACGCGGATAATCCAATAAGCAGGAACATAAAGAAAAGCAAATGAGAGCTTACGTAAAGATGATAGTGTTTTTGTTCGCTACTCTTCCTTGATGAATAAATTCAGCGGCCGCAAGCAAGTTTTTAACGGATTCGTTCATGTCACCAGAAGGAAAGTTAATACTTTTCCAAAGTAATTCAACCTGAACAATTAATCATGTTGTAACAGATAATAACTTGGGAGCTACCTTTGAAGGCATTGTCCCAGTAGTCAGTACGCGCGCATAGGATTTTTTTATTTTGTCCTCTGGTACTTCCGGACCGATATCCAGGTAGGGCAAAAGTTTAGCTAGACCTGCTCCCATTACTTCGGTTTGTAAATGTCACACAGAGGCCAGCGGATTTGACCTAATCGTTTACCAAGTAAAACAAAATCAAGTTCAAATTGGCGCTTTAATTATTTTAAAGCTAAATTTATGTGGCCATTGCGCCAATATAAAAATTTTGCTAATACTCTATACACTGGCCGCTTAGCGCCTTAAATCACTCATCGTTAAGAAAATTTTGCTTCATAATTTTGTAGGCCTGTTTAGATGACTGCTAAAAGAATATGGATTTATATATCCACAATTTCATGTTATTTGTTTGTTTGAATCTTTGTTGTAAGTACACGCTCCATGTGACACCATTTCTTCGAAATTTGGCGCAATACGTATATTGACCTATTGGTTTGTATGGAGGAGAAAGGAAACATTCTGTCAGCTTTATCACATAATGAGCATGTGTGTTGGTGCAGCGTAATGTTACACAAAGACGCATTGTGGTCACTGTCAACACAGCAAATGTCATGCTTGTCTAGCAAATAAGTGACTAGCGATGGCTTGAAACATTCCACTGTTAGCGCACTGGCTACTAGCTCAAGTACACTAACCCAGACTTTCGCCACAAGAGTAGATCAGGTGCCACCAAACGGACCCTATTCTCCTAGGTTTAAGCATCTTCCTTCTTTGGCCTTGCGTCGAACTATCTGCACAATGCCCAAAGCACTCCGGTACCTCATCCCCATCGCCCCACAGATAATGCGTCGCAGGTAAATCAAGTAACCACGACGACAAAGATACTCTAGACAGACCAAGTTCAACTTCTGAAGGTAATGCGATTAAGACAGGTTCCATAGTTTCATGATAGATTTGGACTCTCTTCGCTGAACATTCTCTATCGGTACGCATTCTGATTTCCCGGGAGATTAATATGCTTGCAATCCACACTCAAGTACTGGTAGAAGACGAAAGCTGTGCAGAGGCCGGAACATCTCTGCAGTCAGTTTAGCAAGGATCTTCTTATGAAAACGCTCATTCTATTAGCAGCGGCAGTTTGCGTTAGTGTAAGCTTAGTCGGGAGCACGTTTGGTAAAACAGGAACTCCAGCTTCCTTCAAAGTTGCTTTCCCGAGCAGGAAGCCTCCAATTTGATAAGCAACAAAGGGTCCGTGCACCTACTGAGAGGACAAAACTATTAGCCTTGGTAATGCGTAACCGCCAATCCATTCACCACCAGTGCAACTGGTCCAACCTTGTCTGTAGCCGGTCAGTAAGAGTAAACTTGGACACATCTCGTCACAGGTTCAGCTCCTCAGCTTACTTGAGGCCGTCAAGCTAGAGCTAAGATTAAAAATCATTGATGTAAACTGTAAAGAGCTCAGGACCAGCAGCGACAACTAACCTAAGTAAAGTACATACACTGCTGCTACAAGCAAGTAAAGCTAATGCTTTAACTGTCGAATAAGGTAGTTTAGACGTACATGGTTACAACTTACTGCACGAGAAGCACATTAATCACTAGCTTCTACAACTGACTCAAGGTTAATGCAGCTGACGATTTTGTGGTTACAAAATGTCAGAACTTGAACGTAGTCTAACGCAGTTGTCTGAAGAAAGCAATTTTTCTATCAGATTGAAAAGTATAGTGCAGTTAAACATAACCTAAATTGTAAATCATTGGTGTGTCCTGCATAAAAGCATTCGGTGTGGTGAGGGTGCGTGGTATCGAAAGAAGCAAATGTGGGACTGGAAGAGCCTGGAAACCTAATTTGAAGATATTAGTACTACTAGCACCAACGCCTTCCGTCATTTTGTCAAGTGGTGGCTTTTTAACTTTACCAAGGCACCATATGTGCGCCGAAGGATAGCATGAGGCATTAAAGTAACGGTATCGATGGTCTGAAAGGTGCAATCTAGCATCCAAAGCTAAATTTGACGACGTCATCTTTTGTAACATTGTTACCTGCCTTTATGCAGCGAATGAGGGTGTAGGACGCATTGAATGTGTGGCTATTGTTAATTGTTTTTGTCAGCAACTATGCTGTTTAGCAACCTACGCTGCGCTGCCGTCATATTATGATACATATTTCAGGTTGTTTACGACATTGCACGAATCACGTGAACACAAAACCTGCTACACATTGGTAATTGCGGGTTTACTAGTGACGGACTAATTACGAAGAACAGGAGTACAGCCGCAAGTATTAGGTGCTTTAGGTTAGGAGATATGTTCCGAAGTAGATGACTGTTAAACTGCATCTGATAATTGCGTGTCACTTGATAAGCTTTCCGGCAGACGTTTCTTAACTGTTTTCTCTGGGCCTTGTGGATGCGTGAAAAGTAGTCCTGTGCCGTAGGTCTAAGGAAACTGCCAGTACAGTGCGTTCTTTCTTCAGCCATAAACTTGATGTCAATGCGGAAGTCAATTTAGCTTTTAGGTTGCAATCTTAATGCATAACGATTCTTCACTGTGAGACAGCAATTAGGATGCGAAAACACAGTTTAGAAAACTACCCCATCTAAAAATAAATAAACAACTTCTTTATTCTCGGCCACGCGTGGCACGCCATTATAGGCATGATCCATTTTATAGTATAAGCGTTGAGCAAGGAATGTGCGAATAACTCGCAAACTACTGCACGTATTGTGTTGCTTTTAAGTTCAACGTATTCAGGCACTAACGCTGGTCCAGGCCAGTGTAATTTTGTGCCACTTTAAGCGGTATTGTAACTGTAGAAAGGCTTTTTCTTTTATCTGAGAATAACTCAGATTGAAATTTTGCGCCGGAGTGCAATATCAGCGTAAGAAAAGTAGGACTGTATTTTTTGTTAATTAGTATTTTTCTACTGAAGCACGCAGCTTTATTTTCTCTCTTAACAAATTGTTTCTATTTTTGTCTGCATTTATCGGAATTGTTTTCAACTTTTCGTATGCCTTACAATCCCTTCACTCATTTCTTCCATGTGCGCACAATTGGGGCCACTGAGTGGCCAATTACTGTGCGATCAATTTAACGTGCACTTTCGGCGAATTGGATTCTGTTCCGAGGAGCAAAGGCACAACTACACCGCGAAGTTTTCACAAAAGAACAAGGATTTCAATATCGCCCGCAGGAACCAGAAACATGCCAAGGTGGGCGCCTGCGACCCAGTAGCTGTATATCAAACAATGCCAATGCATTTGTAATTGCTGACGATGAACATATACTTATATTTTACCTACTTGCATGCAAGAGCATCGGATTTATGTAAGCATTGATCTGCACCCTTTAGGGTGCAGCCTCTAGCAGGTCTAGAAATATACCTATTTATTTAGTATAATGGGATTTTCTTATGGGTGGCTCCATAAATTTAGTTTTGTTGGTAGGTGTGTTCCTTTTGTTTTTAAAGGTGCTTTTGTTCTGTTTAATGCGTTCCATCGCGTTGCCAGTGTCTAAGGTAAGGTCTTACGTCTGCGGATATGATAAAATTGTCCGAGTAATTCCAGTTCAAGGGGAATGTGCTTGTAATGTTATTTAAATAAATCCTGAAAGCAGAAACAATTGCACAGACATGTGGGAGGATATCGCTCACCTAACCAATAACAAATAATATTTGGTACCCGAAAAAATGAGGCACACTAATAAGGCATGATCAAACGGGCGCAACAAGCCTAACGGCATTAAACGATTGCGAAGAGCTGGTTGAAAAAGTGTGACCAGATAATTTAGCAGACTGGACACATAGAGAACTTTGCTGATGTCCGTAGGCTGTAAGGGACCAAGGTGCTGGTGCGTAGAAAACTCGAAGTGATAGACGGTGTTGTCGATTAAAATATTTGGTAAGGTTTTACTATGCTGTTTTCCATTGTTTTATGTCCACAATAAAAAAGGAGTAACTTGATAGCTTCGATATTGGAGAAAATTTTTAAATTCTCTAAGTAATATAAATAAAGAAATAAAGTTTATGTTTTCGGTGTTGAACGATACATGCCAGCAAGACATGATCAAACAGGTACAATCAAGTCTACAACGAGCAAATTTGATCAAATTTGGTCTATACATTGGAACTTGTGAGAAGTGTTATAAGGTTGTGATAATTGTTAAACCACACGATTAAAACTGCTTGTTAATGCAAATGTAAAAATGTTGGTAATCACTTTTTGTGACCCTGGCATTGGTTCCAAGTAAACGTTATGGCCTGAATCAGATCTCGTGTGCTGTTGCTCGCAGTTAGCTGTTATCCACCTTCCATCCACAAGCCAGACCGTAGGAACCTTACAGTGCGTTCTCCTGTGGCCGCGTTGGGTATCAATTCTGTTCATTCAAGCGATTTGTTGTTTACGAGGGCAAGTATCGGAGCTGCTAATCATAGACCTTCCAGTGATTGATGTATTGATCCTGCTTGGCAGGATTGTTAAGCGGTTACAGGAGAGTTAAATCGAAGTGAATTCTCGACCTCGTTGATGGCAAAGGGCATGACAATACTTAAATAAATAACTAAACCAACAACTCAACTGTTTATTTCGACTACGCGAGGCACGCCTGCACAGGCATAATCACGCCAAGAATACAAAAAGTGATCACTTAATGTACATAGAACAACAGGATTGTCACCTATATTGATTTATAAATGTATTTATGTGAGTATTCAGGACAGTATAGCTGTGTGTATGTGATTTTTAGATAGCTTCGTGCACTTTTGCGAGGGTTTGAAACTATTGCCGGCACTACGGAATGCTTGGTATCTGTGGACTTGAAGCTCTTGTCCGGATAAGCAAGGGGTGACTTTAGTTTTTGGCTAGTCCCAACCACCAAGTTACACGTTTTTAAACAGGTATTTGTGGCTTTTATAGTGAGCAAGCTTGCCAAGCGAAAACCCACCACGTGCTGGAGCTCTGCCGCCGAACTATTTGATGAAACGGGATAAACACGAACCAACTAGCTGGCACCACGTAGAGGTTGTTCGGCTAGCCAGCCGACGGGTGAATGGGGAAGCGATACTTTTATTGCATCATATTATTTTGTTAATGGATTTCACTCTGGAGATGTATCCAGTAGCAAAAATATTGTAACACATATCCATACGTAAAAAATCAGTAAGGCTCCATG